ATAAGTACTGAGTCTGATATCTACATGGAAAACCAAATACAAGCTACCTTGGACAAAAATACCAAAGTGCAAACTGAAAAACAGAAGTATAACTGACATGCAGGATATTGATAAACTGGGAGGAGACTTACAGAATCAACTTGTAGAAAGGGATCAAAACCAGGTTTATCTGTAAACAAAGTCTGCTGTCTCAAAAAAGGAATAAGCAGAGTGCCAACTAAGAAACTACTGGAAATGGCCCATATGCAGAAGAAAGAAAACTATGGGAACTACTACTATGAGGCCCAAACCATTAAGGGGAACGTGGCAGCCTCTGGGAACTGCAGTCTACAGTCTTGTGCATTTATTCTGAGAACCACCAGATTGCTTTAGGGAATTTGTTTTCTTCCCCCCATGAATTACAAAAGAATACATGTGACTAAATTTGTGTTTGCATCTCTAAGAAAAAGAAAAAATAACAGGACTTGCAGAATTTGCTGAGCACAAGCAATTCTTTGATGATGATGGCAGGTGGCAAATATTTAGCATTTTTGAGGATTAGGAGCTGCAAAACAGATTTTTTTTCATGTCTCTCCTGATTTAGAAAAATCTTGAGCTATGTCCTACCAACAGCGATGTCCTACCAAAAGAGACCACACCTTCCAAGACAACGCAGAAAAAGAAACACCAGAAGTTTTGTGGTTTTTTTTTTTTTTTTAATTTCTTGTTCTGACTGTAGCATACAAGGGAAGAAGGAACGGGAAGTCTGCCATAAAGAATGCAGAAAAAAGATTAAAAGAAATTCTACCTTTAAAGTCTGAAAGTGGAAAAGAAAGATGGGGATCATCACCAAAAGAACTTCCTACTTTAGTTTTAGACATACTGATGCTCTGTCACTCACTTTATACATAGCAAAGATAACTCACTTTTCCCTCAGATATATCCTACTGCTTTGAAGATACATCCCCTTCCTCCTACTTTGATTTGGTGTAAATGCTTACACCTAGCTCAGGCAATACAAACTCAGGCTTGACATCTGGGTACTACCTTGCAAACAGTCTTCCTTATTGCCTCTGCCAGTCAAGCTGAACTCCCATATACCAAGGCTGAGCTTTGCTATGTCTCAACACAGCCCACCGGCAGGAGGAGTGCAGTACCTAGGGCGCAGGTGCAATGGTGGGGACACTACACCTCTGCAGGGATAATAAAGGCAAGGGGACCAAACACAGCCCAAATGCAGTATCTTTATTGCCACTGCCAAGCTTCATTACACTGGCAACCTGTGGCTCAGCACGTTTCCTGAGGACCCCATGGTGCCCTGATACACAGCAAGGCTGCCTCTCAGCTCTGAAACCTCACACACTCTCCCTCCTCCCCCAGTTCTCCCACCTCCACACCTGGGGAAACTTAAAGCTACTTGAGCTGCAGAAATTTGTTTTTTCCCTAGACAATGATCATTACATACTTAGGAAAGAGATTAAACCCCCCAAAAGACACCAAAAGCTAGAACTATTCCCAAAGGAAGGCAAGCTGCACACCCGTCTCCCCAACCATCCCTCCTCCCCTGGCCAGACACAAAGGGCACCTAAGTTGTGCTAGGAAAGGACTACTTGCAAAAGCAAGCCAACTTGTCCTGCATGAAAAAGCAGGGGCCAGCTGACGTCCCCCTGCTCTAAGGAAGCGCAGCGGGTGGCTGTCCGAGCAAGCACGTCACATGGCTCTTGCCAGGACTTACTGCGTTTAACCACGGCCAGCAGCTGACAGGGAAGACAGCAGGAACGAAACATCCAGACACCCAGGAGCCCATAGGAACTTGCAGCCTGCAAGCCTCTAATAACTTTTTTCCTCCTTTTTTTTTTTGAATTCTGAAGGCATGTGACTGGCCTTCACATACCAGAGCTGACCCCTCCCAGAGCCAGTGATTTCCTAAGAGCAGAGAAGGATGTTACCCTCCCACTTATTCATTACAAGACTATGTTTCCTTGCTGTTACACATTAAAACCTCACGCCATCTAGGGTCTGCATGACAGTTATGCTCAGGATCCCTCCAGAGAGATGCAGAAAGTACTGTGATGCTCCACTACCTGCTATCAGGAGGGCATGGCCAAGGGGAACACCTGCTCCTCCCTTCCTAACTGGCTCACTGGCTTTCAATTTCCAGGTGTAAACCATTAACTCTTTGCTCTCACATCCACCCTCCCCTTCTGTACCAGACCGTGAAGAACTGCTGGTATTTCACACTCTGTTCCCCCATAAATTAGCACTGGTACTTGGAAGTGTACTCTCTCCCCACGCACTTTCCCACACATTTTTTATGTCACAAAAATACCACAGCACAGGGAGCTGCTCAGGTTTTGGGTTCAGTTTTTGTTTGCTTGTGTTGGCAGTGTGGTTCCTGGAAAAGGAGGCCTATGCTTCTTGTGCCGCACTGCAATATTGCATTGCTCTGCTCCCAAGACCCTCTGCATCCCCAATTCTCCCACTTCACTTTGCACCTGCCACTCTTCACATGCTGGGACCCCACACCTCTGTCCAATCCCGCAGGTTGGGGTCCTCCAGCTGCTCTCCGGCCTACACCCACCCTCCCGTGACTTCACATCACAGGGTGGGCAGAGGGATCTGCAGGAACCCCTGGCTTCAGGGAGAGCGGGCAGCTCTGCAGAGGGCACAGAGCCCCCCGGTGGCTCCACGATATATCGCAGGAAAGCTGCTGCCTGCAAACTGCTGCCAGTGGCAGCGGGATGCAGGGCCAAGGAACGCTGTCTGGGTCCAGCAGGGCGGTGGGTTTGCCTTCCCCCACCTCCCTCCCCAGGAGAGCTGGACCACTTCAGCAGGCGCCCCTTTGATGCTCTGCAGCACCAGGCAGGTGCTACACGTGGGAAACTGCAGCCCCAACACAACCGCAGGTTCGTGGCACCATAGGAAACAAGGATGTAGAGCAGAAGGCACAAAGCTGCCACAGTGGCTACTGCACACGTATCATACATGTGGACTTCTGGTTGAAAAAACAAGCCTGGGATTGCTTCAGGCAACACAACCACACATGCAGACTCCTAGAAATAGCTCCCATGGCTCAAGCAGCTATTTCTGGTTCACCTGTGACAGTGACACACCATCTTGACCCCTCTGCAAATAAACCCCATGCAGCCCCCAGCATGCAGACAGTGATCCTCTCTGTAATACCATGATTCATCACAGGCTCCAACAATGCAGCACATACAATCTGTCAGTCACTTGTACCCTGGTGCAATACAACATGATATTAGAATATCATGGGGTGGTGGTGGTGGTGGTTAATAAGGCTATTGTCTGGAGGATTACCTTGTGGGGCTCATCCATGGCTCGCTGTACTGCTGCAGCTACGCTCTTTATCAGTACCTGTCTTAACAGAGCATGCCCTTGGGGCTCATCCCTAACAGAGCCCTGCAGAGTATAACAGCAGAGCTTCCTAACAAACCCGCTGTTGGGGACACTTCTTTTTTTATTTTGGGGGGGGGAAAGAAGAATTTAAAAATCCTCTGTCACCTTTATCACTATGGTTGCAAATTTAAACTAAAATTAACTTAATTCCTAATGAAATCCACACTAGGCAGGCACCTAATGTGTCTTCAAGCATTATCTAAGCACACCGTGGCTTCGTGATAACTTCCGTCTCGATGAGCCGATGCGGGCTGTACTTGACGGTACTTTTTAGATACTAGATGCTGCAACTACGTGCTAACAGAATCAGAATCTGTATGGGCTGCTTGTCCTCCACTGCCATCTTACAACAACTTCTGTGTTCAGTACAAGTAAGGAGCTGCAAGTGTCAAGACTGACCTCAGTTTCTGACTCCGTACTGGTTGTAACAGATTAGCAGTCACTTATTGCCTATTGGCCCCACGCAGCTCAGGGCTGTACAAGATTTAAACACCTTTCTTCCAGGATTGATGGTAAAACGTTCTAAACTGCTAAGTCTTTCTGCCTGTTCTTTTAAGGGCAAACTGTACCTTAATCCATACAATTAGAAAAACTACTTCTGGTCAAAGGACTTCTTTCATGCTAGCACAAAAGGAATAAAACAGATAAAAGACCTCCCACCAACGACTTCCAGGAAAGCTCAGACTAGACTAGTCCCACCTAAGGGAATAGTCTAAGGACTCTTAGATAATGGCCTGTTGCTGGACGATGGAGACCCAAGGCATCTTTGTCACTCACAAGGTCCCTCACCCCTCCACAGATTACTGCTTTTGGCTCAACCCCCCCACTGTTGCTACCTTTCACTCTCCCCATCCTCTTTGACAACACACGATGAGGAAAGTTTGGTCACAGCATGAGTTTCTACAATTACACAGTATTTTCTGACCACTTATCCTAGTTTTTGCCTTTCACATGACTCTTCTCTTAATAGGTTTTCTTATCTCTCCCTTTACCTAAATGGAAATTATTAACATTTTTGCAACACTCCTTCCTCTCTCAATCAGTAACTAGCGCACAAATGAAAGAAGCAGCTAACAGTCTCTAATCCCATAAATGTGGTGGGAGCAAAACCTCGTCCCAGCTAAAGCAACCAGCAAAATTCCCACCCACCTCAAGAGAGGAAAAACTATGTGCAGAGACACACCTTTGACATCCAAAACAAAAACATTTGGACAACTTGTCCATGTAAACAGGGTGTTACTGTTCCTAAAATTGCTGCTAACAAATTCAGGTACAACTGGAACTCAACAAGGTTCATCTGTAACTGGTACCTAACTCCTCCAGGGACAGGTCCCAGAGATGCAACAATACCGGACAGCCTTTTATAACGCAAGTATCACTTACAAAACCTTTGTAAATTAAATTCGCACCTTTCTAATGAAAGGCAGGTTTGGATAGCTCACTTCTCTCCTGCAGCTCACTCTGTTACACTGGAAATTCTTCAGTGTAGAAAATGTGCAGTGTTGAAAGAGGCAAAACTAGACTCTGAGACAGTTCTCTCAAGTAAACATACATTGGGGAAAAATCAGCAGGCATACAGAAAGCTCACCCACTGCTTTTACCTTGCCAAATGAGGGACTTCCGTGACATCTCCTCTGAAGAGTGTTTCACTAATATCCCTTAATCCATTGGTGATGCCTTCAGTGCAGCGCTTCACCTCCCCATCAGGGGGAAGCTGCAGGACATCTGGCTGCCCAGAGGCTGATGTCCGATCTAAAAACTGGCCGCCCTCCTTCATGCGCTGCTGGATCATGGGAGTGAGTGGCATCTCAAAGCTGAAGTAGCTATCAGGCTCCGAGTACAACGTCTCTAGTGACTCTGCGCTGTAGTATAAAGATGCATTGTCTAGGATGTTTTCGAACTGTGAGCTGTACAGATCAGTGGAGATGTCGGAGTGCCTCTGCCCAAAGACATCTTCATATCCTCCCGTGGCTGCTTCACCCTCCTCCATCATCCTGGAAATTAATCAGAAACAGCTCATTTCAGCTCAGAGGCAAGGTTTAGACCTCTGGGTGAACCTCCTCGCCTTCTACCTTTGCAAACAGAAAGGTCAATGTGCCTTTGTGCAAGAGAAGACACTGTGGGTAAAACGCTAGTTTGTCCTTGCACCACCTCTGTTCATGACTGGCACCATCTCCCTCTCTGGGGACACCAAACAATCTTCTGGGTAAAAGAGGGGCGCGGGGGGAAAGGCTAAGAGATAGCATCAGCTGCTTATGTGCAAAGAAGAAGGGCACGCACAAATGTATAAGGTCTCCGCTAGCACCACTGCCATGCCAGAGGCTGCACAGGTCGAAGATGTGCACCCAGATGGGGCCTCTGCACCCAGAGGACAGTTTGCTGGCAGTCCTAGGGCTGGGGACTTCAGCAAAAGGCTGGAGGAAATCCCTCCAAAACGCAAAGGGAAGCAAATGCAATTAAAAACCCACAGCTGGGAGAACCAAATTTGAAGGGGAAAGACTTGGCCTGCTTGCGGATGGACAGGGGAAGGTCTAGCATCCCTCCTGTGGAGAGTTTTCTTCTCTGCTGCACCAAATACTCCCAGGCTTCTCATGACATGTGACAGGCATCAGGGCTGACCACCTGGGCAATCCCACACGCTAGCCAAAGCAAAACCCCGCAGATCCTGAGGTGCAGAGGCAAGAGTACCTCCATTGCTGAGATCCTGTTGTTTCAGCAGCAAACAGCCTGCCAGGTCAGAGCAGGCATGGTTTGCTCAGTGTGCACCAGTAGGACCCTTTGCTTTGTTACAGATGTGCATCAGGAAAGAAAAGTGAGCAAATCAAGATGCTCTTGTAAAAAGCAGCACACGATTTTTGCAATATACATAGCTAAAAATATATAAACACAGATATATAGATCATATAGAAAACTCATCAGAGCACTTACCCTCTTAAAACATACAAGGCCCTGGGTAAAACATCTTTATTATCTGAACTCTCAAAGGTGATTTCACTTTTCTTGCACAAACTCTGCCCGAAACCAGAAAATCTGGCCAGGCACATATGGCCAGGCCTGCATGCTGCCTATATGTAATTACATGCCATGTCTGGATCCCAACTACACCTGCTACAGATGCTTCATCACACAGCCATTCCTCTGCAAACAGCAAGAGACATCTTTACATTTCCAAATCTGAGATGGACTTCAAACTTCAGTAAGGTGGTGTCGACAGGGTTCACTCCCAACTTCATGCAATAGCCACCACCAGGCATGAACTCCTGCCATTGCCACCGTGCTTGCAGGCAGCAGCTGAACATTCGTTGTTTGTTATTAGCTCCCAAAGGGGTAGGCAAAAGCCACATGCTTGGGACAAGAGAAACCCCGCCTGCCCCCTGAGCCCCCTCAAGCTCCATCTCACCTGCCCTGGCCTCTCGCTAGCACAGCTGTCTCCTCCTTGCCGTGGTTCTTGTCCTTCACAAAAACTTCATCCTCCCCGCTTTCATCGAGCAGCGCCAGAGAGGTGGCTCCAGAGGCAGTGGGTCCCAGCCTCAGCTCCTCACAGACCTCACTCCAAGTGCTGTCTGGTGAGGAGACCAAGCCTGGGGAGACCATCGGTGGCACAGGGTAGCTGGATGTTTTGGGGAACGTCTTCCTCTCCACGGACACAGTCTCCAGCAGTGAGTGCTTCTTTCTTCTCTGCTCCTCGGCTTTTTGCAGCCATAAAATCTCCACCCCTTGAAATTCTACATGTTTGCTCACAGCTGCCTCTTTAGAGAGCCTCCTCTCAGGACCCATTTGCATTTTGCCTTGACTGTACGCTGAAAACTCCTCAAAATGCGCCCACCCCTCCACTCTGCTGGCTGTTTCCAGGTTTGTCACAGATGGTCTATGACAGCTTGTCTCCTGCGCTGCGTGGACCTCCTCAGCTTTATTACTGATGACTTGCAAGGACTCGGACTGCTTTTCTTCAGTCCATATTGCAGCCAGATCTTTCTCTACAATCAAATCCATTTTTTCCTCAGCTGTTCGTTCAGATGGAAGAGGCATGTCTGAGGGTTTTTCTTGGCCTGCTGGAACTGGTTCTCTGGCTGCCTGAACATTCTGGCTGCCAGTAACACTCTTTTTTTCCATTTGCGTCTCTGAATCAAGAGAAGTATTTGCTCTCTCTTGCACCTTTGCTGCTTCCAGCCGTCGAGAGATTTTCATAATCTCTGGCAGGTTACCCGCAAGCTGCAAACCTTCTTCTGGGGTGTGCAGCTGTGCTGCCCCAGTGTCAGGTCTCAAATTGTCTGCAGGAGCCACTCGCTGAGGAAGGGGCCTGACAGGCACCTGGTGGTGACTGTCCCATCTTTCTGGACCGCATGTCACAGGCTCTGCCTGGTGCGGCGACGAAGCCCTCAGCGCGTCTCCGCTTGGCTCTACAGTGCCATACTCTGGAAATTCATTGATGATGGTATGAGGGAGCAAGGTGCTGCTTCCATGGCCACTACCTGCAAAGAGAAAAAAGAGAGTGTGGATTTATCTACCACGTGCATAAGCAAAAAGCCTGACCCCCCTTCCCAGCCCTCTCCTAACAGAGTAACTACACTCTCCCCTGCAGGGAAAATACCGTTCAGTTTAACTCACTTCTGCACGCTCTCACAATGCAGTTATCCAGAGCTGGTCCTTTTACACAGGAGTTTTTGGGCAGCCCTACTTTGGGAGCGTGCACTGCAGAGGAAGGAATGCCAGAAATGTCTGCTACACTTTAGAAAGAGTCCCAGTGGCCCATGAACAGTCTGAGGCCACAGGCCAGGCACAAAGGCTGAAGAAAGCAGATATTTACAGGTCTGACATCCATCCACAGCATGTGCCATTCATACTGGTTTCATTTGGGAAAAAAAAAAAAAAGTTTTTAGGTCATTTTCACTTGTAAAGGTGAAACACTGGGAAGATAATCAGTCGCACCCTGTATATTCCACAGCCTTGACAAAACCAATTAGCTACATTACAAAGCAATTAATGAGCAATTCAACTTTCTGCCAGTACTACCCTCTTCCTTTAACAACTCAGGTAATTGCAGATCATATTGCAGCGATGTATGCATAACCGAGCAGTTCACATTTTCTGTGGCAGCAAATTCACCGCTGGACAAAAAGCTTGCTAGCCCTCCCCTCCTCATGCTGCTTTTCGAACTGATGTAAACAAAGCAGGAGCAAGAACGGATGGTCCCATTTTCCAAGTGCCGAGCACCCAGTGGCTCCCATTGTTGTGGGGTAACAGAGAACTAGCTGTCCTCAGAGAGACCTCACAGATGACACAATGATGGATGCTTGGCCACCTTATATTACAGCCAAGGGAGGAACTAAGCTTTTGGAAAAAAAAAAAAAAAAGGCAAAAAACCAACAAACCCACCAACAGCTGCATTCACTGCACTGTTTTGGAAGAAATTGGCCAGGAGTATAAAAGTGCTCTAAAACAAACAATGGCGGGGTCAAATCCAAAAAATGTCAGAGGTGACAGCTCTGAAACCAGACACCAACTTGCTCTTGGATGCTTTGCCCTGCTCAAGGTGCATCTCTAGGTGTTGCATTGCAAACCGATCCCCATCTCTGCTCTGAGCAGGTTGGCCACAAGCCATTTCTGGGGAGGAAGCCATGTAGCTGTGGTTAATAATAGGCTGAGTTCAAGGTGAAAGGGAGAATAATTCAATGCAAGCTCAGCACCAGGCTAATGTGGCTATCTATCTGCCAGTGGTGTGTAAAGATGAGCAGCACCTCACACCTGCCAGCTCACTATCCAGTATACCTAGCCTCAGGGTAAATACCACACACGGTGTGGGGTGCAGGATCAAAGTGACAGACTCGGACCATGCCAAAACACAGTCTCTTCCCCAGTAGGTTCTTCAGATGTCTCCATGCTGTTGTTTAATCACTCCATAATAAAGCTTCAGTGGGCCAGGTTTCACCTAGATGACTTGGTTGCTGTTGAGGACAGCAACTGGACAAAGCAGGGACCTTTTCTCTGCTGCAAGGTCTGAGGGAGCTGTGAGGAGCATAGATGCCCTGTCCACTTCTGCATCACCACCCTGCCTTCATGGTGGGGTTTCCAATACACAGCTGTGGGTACACTGGGAGAGTCTGAAGAAGAGAGAAAGGTCCCTCTCCCCACATGAGTATTTCCAGGCATGATGCTTTTTCTAAGTGCCCAAAGCCCCAGACAAACAGCCCCCATTGCACACAATTCAGCCATGCAGTGCTTGGGTGCATCCAAAGCCCACCCACTTCATGGCACAGGCGCCAGGTTGCCATTGGGACACACTTCTACCAGGATGGACTCATGGATGAGAATGGTGCTGTGTGGCTGCAATGCTCCTACACCTGCACCGGCACCAGCCCCAGCCAGCAGAAGGCCCCAGCTCCCCACCCCGCAGCCATGGTCTGCTCTAATGCAGTGGCCTTAGTGCTCGCTGGTCTCCCCGTATGTGTCCAGAGATGGGATTTTTTAAGGGAGAAGAAATGCCGATAGGGAGTCCCTCACTGTAGCTGCTAAGGTAAACCTTTCTCGGTGGACACAGCTCCCCCCGCAGCAAACCTCAGCTTGCAGACCTGCAGGTGGAAGGTACCCCAGTTGGGATGGCCTCACACCCCCAGCACCGCAGGGCCGTGCTTGGCTGTAGTGCTGTCTGGGCCACACGGTCTGGCCACATCCTGAAGGAAGACAGTGCATAGTGCCCCAGGAGCCAGGACCTCCCGTGTCTCCCTCCAACCCACCCACCCCACCTCCTTGGAAGGAAGCCCAGAGCATCATCCCCTGGCCCCCCATGAGGCTGGGATGCAGCCAACATGCACTGGAGGCCAAGCCCTGACAAGGCACTGCACAGACCCTGCCAAGGGGCCAGGCTCGTCTCTGCTAATTGCTGTCTTAGCTTCTGAACCGAAATGAGGGAAACAGAGGAGGCCTTGTTTCTGGCGGTGAATACTAAATGCACTTCTGCGCGTCCCCATCTGCCACCGACGGCTGCTGCTGACGGCGGGAAGCAATCCCGAGCAAGTTTCTGATTTACGTCTCCTCCTGAACTTCATCTCAAGTAAACTTTACCCTCTGGCAAGCCCGGGAGACTCTAGAAGAGGTAGATGTACAGAGCACACACACACATATACGGGGACAGCGAGACGTGTGGGAGGAGGGAGCGTGCACACAGGTACTCCTCTCTACCACACTTGAGAGCCGTGTTTCACCTGGGCAAGAGAGACATTTAAAGCCTTTTCTACAGTGAGGCACCAGCAGCCCTGCTCTGGAAGGACTGCTGCTTCTACTGCCACGTGAGAGCACAAGTCCACGGGATTCTCATTTTCACGGCATCCTGCATTAACATTGCCTAATTCACTGCCTGATTAAAAAGAAATCACATATGGCATCAAAGCAGCAGTCTGTCCCTGTTATGTTAGGTACCACCATGCACATGACTACCGAGGTCTCCACTCCTTGCAGTAAACCATCACCAATAGCCCCCTGCTCCTAAAAGAAGCAAAGCCTTTGCTTTTGCTCAGAGAGCTGTTTCAGGTACCAGAGTTTAGAGGAGCTTGAGCTCTTTAAGGAAAACTCCTCCCTTATTCCCATCCACCACCACAGCATCATGTCTTGCTGCAGCTACTGCCATATCCTGTCCAACCCCATCCCCCAATATGACTGCATTACAAACAAGGCTAGAAAGGCAACAACAAAATTTAAGGACTGCACTGAAGATGAGCAGGGAAAAAAAATACCCATCACCAAACAAACAAAGAAAGGACACACACTCTCAGGTAACACCAATTTCTACTTTGCATTCAAGGTGGCTTCTTTCAACAAAGGAAAAAAAAAAAGAGAGAATTAGATGGAGAGAGAAAAAGCTAAAAGAGAAAGGGGGTGAGTGGCTAGAAAATTGAGACCGGGCAAATACAACCTAACAGCAGTTGGCAGCCTTTCTGATGACTAGACGTTGAAAGAATTCATGACTTAAATCAGGCATAGATATGATATTTCATAGATAAATAACCATTCCATGTCAAGCAAGCTTGTCTACAGCATAATAAAAGGAAATACTAGGAAGCAAAACACAAGTTACAAGCATAGACAGACATTTTGTTTACAGGTACATTTTACAAAAGAATGGTGTGAGTGTCTCTCTCTATACAGTATATATATATATATATAAGCTAGCTCGAGAAATTAGATATATTTGCTTCAACAGTCTCCTTACTCACAGAGGTTACTGTAGCTCCAGCAGTTACCCATTGGTCAAAGAAATAAAATGCACAGATCATCAGTTTATCTATAGCGATACCAGCTAATTCAATTGCTGCTGTTCTAGTCAACTGGAATCAAAATAGTTTCAAATTTCCTGGCAGCTGCTGCCCTGCACTGCACACAATGATGTAAATGGATGCTTTCTGAGTATTATGAAACTGATGGGGGAACTGCAGTCTCATTCAGTCTATCGCAGGAGCTAAGAAGTCCACCTTGGCAGCTTGCAAGGGGGAAAAAAAATTCCTCCAGCAAGGCTGCCTGACGGTATGCCAGGGAGACGTCTGTGCTTAGCTGCCCTTTATTATAACCGCATCCATACGGGAAGAAACGGGCAGAATGGCGATGCTGAGAGTCATGTGCTGGTTTTAGAGCGTGGGGCGCCTGATGGCGTTTCGGCATTACTGAGCTGGAAGGTTTCACAAAGCAACCCAGTCATCCTGCATTTTATTTTTCCACATCTCCTTGCACCGATCACAAGCAGCACATGGGTGAGCCTGCATGCAGCATCACACCAGTTGTGCTTTCTTGGTACCATCATTTCTTGGCATTATTTGTAAAAGGCAGGTTAGGGCCAGTAAAAACAATGCATGCATGAAGTGGAAATGAATCTCTAGGTGACAGAGCTTAACGAACATATCGCAGGATTTATGGCATCATATCATTATTGCAGCCTGCCAGGGAGGGGGTGGTCACACGTGTCTTCTTGTCCTACACACCCTCAAGTTACGACTTCTGTGGTAACTAAAGCTGTCCTGATTCATAAAGCAGTGCCTGTGCACTCTGAGACAGAGCGGTGTCCCCCTATGAGAGGGGAGGGATGCTGCACAATCACTGGCAGCTTTACACAGCAGCCGTTTTTCCAAATGATGTCATTCTCCGTGCTGCGATAGGTCCTGCCTGGCCAGTGGAGGTCCTTCATTAGCCAAATCTGAGGGATTAGCATAATGCAAGCACAGTGCTTTTGTAACTGAACTGTAAACGTCCGCACCGGACTGGGCGTGGGGTTTTCTGCAGCTTGCAGCCACTACATGTTTTTAGGCAGTTTGCTTGCTGGGGGAAGCAGAGCCAGGCTTTCATCCCTGCAAAGCTACACCGGCATTATGTAAAAACAAGTTGGTGGAAACAGGGTAGATGAGTGAAGGCAGGAGGGGAGAGCTGCCTAGGAAATAAACCCTGGTTAAATGCCTCTCTTGCCTTAGCAAACATGAAGGGAAGGTGG